GGGGGGATGTTGATGATGTGATTGCTTTCAGCCCCCCCCCCCCCCCCCCGCGCCGTTGCGCAACACACCACGTACGTACCTCGGTCGTCACCGGAGTGAAGTCCGTCTCCAAGGCCGCGATGAGTCGGAAGCTGAAGTGGGCGTACGCGCAGTACCCGCACTCCACACACAAGAACGCCTCGAGAGACTCGTAGTTGATGTGGCGGCACTTGACAACCAAGGCCACAGCAACAAGAACAAGAACAAGGGATGACGGAAGGAAAATCGGGGGCGTTAAACCATGGTCGTCAGTTCGCACACCCCGCCGAGCTACCCCACCACTAGGTCCCGGCTCGTCCGGCAGTTTCATGCTCCTCCGAAGCACTCAACACCACGTGCCATGCACGCGATGATTTGAAGAGACCACCAAACAAGCCATGTGCCGAAGATACATCATGACTTACCTCTCGCTCAGCGCGGCGGTGCTTACCCCACCTGCCCCGACGCTAACCCTGTTGCACCTCAACAAGAGCGACGCCGCCCCTCAACCAGCAGAACCGCGACATCTCGCCGGTCCTCCGCGCTGCCATTCACACAAAACGCGCCTCACACATCACAAGGCAGCGCTGAAGATTCACTTGCTCCGCACTGCCCATGCTGCCCTTCCCAACCACCGCAACTTCAGAAAACGCGTTATCATCTCACCTGGCAACACTGGAAAGCCACCTCCCCGCACTGCCGGCACACCCCGTGCATGTCAGTCACGGGCCTCCCGCAGCGAGGGCAGTGCAGGGCGCCCCCGCCGCTGTGCCCCCTCCTCCCCCCGGCGCCCACGGCGGCGGGATCCTCCGCCCCCCGCGCGGGGTCGGCGTGGAAGTCGGCGAACTCGACCATGAGGTTGGCGCACGTGAGCGGCAGGGGAAGGTCCACCTGCACGGACACCTTGTCGCGCGGAACCTGGCAAAAGGGAGAGAGAACGCGGACAGCGGGAGGCGGAGACAGAGAGGGAGAGAGAGGGAGAGAGAAAAAGAGAGAAAGAGAGAGAGAAGGAGTCAGAAAGTGGACAGCGGCATGCGGAGAAAGGGAGAGAGCTTTGTTGAAATATTTGTAAGACCAAGAGCGGGCACGCGTGGGGTGTGGTGTCTCGAGATCGGGCGGCCACCGGTCCAATGCAAGAGGGAAAATAGAAAGACGGGGTGGGGTGCTGGACCGGACAGCGGCCCACGAGAGTATGGACCCGTGAGACGCAAAAAAAATGGAGGGGTTCACACCAAACGCACGCAGTAGCTCACAACCGAACAAGGGGAAAAGCAAAAGATCACGGCAGGCAGCCTCTGTTCGGCGTCTCGCTACTCTACTACTCGAGCGCACCGCGTGCTTCCAAAGCAGATAAAACTACTTTCAACTGGTAGCACGACGACAACGGCACCTGGTCACTCAACACCTTTCTGGCTGCTTGAACCGTAGCGCCCGTTACTCGCGCCAACAACAGCCGTCACACACACGAAAAAAAAAAAAAACGCACGTGGACGGTCGCAGCCAGCCTCCACTTGGCGGCGTTCTCCGGCATGCGCAGATCTGCTATCGTCGCCACGGGCTTGGAGTGGTAGTGGAGCCGGATCGTCCGCACCAGGCGCCCGTGGGCGTCCGCGATGCGTACCAGCAACCTTTGCACCTTGAACCTCCCCTTCAGTTGGACCTGCACACACGCAAAAAAAAAAAAACACGGCATAACATAACATTTCGATCACGAGAAGGAAGCCCGACGTTGGTTCAACCAATTGGTGTTGCCATTCGCGCAGCCGTTCAGTCGGACTCTCCATACAGTAGCCAGCAGTCTCCTGAAGGTACAAGCATCAATAATAAGGCAACCACAATGATCCACTCCTATTACCAGGTGGGACAGAATATCACTATCATGGCCAATTGGGGGAGCCACCAGCGTTATAGGACACACACAAGGAGACACCCGAACGCGCACCAGCATGGCATTCTCTGTCGATTTCGAGGCGGCCTTGATGGAATCCAGGGGGTAGTTCAAGTACACCAGCCCCCGACCCCCTCTGGCTCCGGGAACGCTCGCCCCCGCCGCTGCAGCCGCTGCCGCCGCCGCCGCCGCCGCGCCGCCCGATCTAGACCCGGCCACCGCCAAAGACTCCGCTTCCGCGGCCGCCGCTGTCGTCGCTTTGCCTGCAGCTGTCAGGCTGTTGTTGCTATCCTGTTCGGCGCACACGAGGCAAGGCTCGAGCTCTAGGAAGTGCCCCCCCGCCGCGCCGCCGACACCGGGCACCAGCCTTCCGATCGCGGCGTAGAGCGCCGCGTTAGGGTGGTTGCTCAGCGCCGCCGCCTGCTCCGCCACCGCCGCCGCCGCAGCCCGCACCAGGGCGACCATCGGCGAGACGTCGCCGCCGCCGCCGCCCTTGTCCTCGTCCATCGCGTCCCCGCTGCTGAGTTGTTGTTCTGCTGTTAACGCCTGCGACGACGGCGGCGGCAGCGGAGGCTGTGCGTCCTGCACGGCGAGGGCTAAGAAGGAAAGCCACTCGACGGCCCGCGAGCCTTGTCGGGCGGCAAACGGTAGGTAGGCCGCGAGGCGTCTCACCACCTTTTGTTCGGAGCAGGACGGCAGACACGTGAGCGGTGGGGGAAGGGGCTTGGGGGGTCGGTAGGAGAGGTTGGTGGGTAAGCGTCGCGCACAGAAAAGTGAAAGCGGATCAATTTCTTCTCAGTACAAGGAAATAGTCGAGAACACGTCGGGCGATAGCAGGAAAATGCACGAGAATCTTCGGCGTTGTCACGCCCTACAGCAGTAGCGAAGGCTGTACTTGATATCTGCACCACTTTTCTTTATGAAAGAAAACTTCGATCTGTCTCAAGAACAAAACCTGCTCTGCCCGTCCACGCAGTATGAGACGCAACAACACCAAACCAAGACAGTAGAGACCCAGCTCAAAAACGCCGCCCGTGCGTGTTAATTTCAGCCACACTGCTAAAACACACACACACACACACACACACACACCGCACCACCGCTCCCTGTCACATACCTCCGGCCTCGAGTCCGCCGCGCTCGACGCCCACAGGTGGTGCAAGACGCTCGACGTCCGCTGGCGGGCCTCCGCGTCAGCCGCCGGCGACAGGAGGTCCTGCGCCATCTCCACGACCGCGTCGGAGCCGACCAGACCCTTGGCTATCAGCAGGTCGGCGGGGGACGGGAACGACCACGCTCCTCCTCCTCCGAGTGCGCTCCCCTCCGCCATGGCGACAGCGGCGGCGCCACCGCCGGCCGCGAGGGCCAAGCGGCCTCCCTGGCTCCCCGAGGAGGCGTTCGCGCCGGCCACGACGACGGCCTCGCCGCTCCTACTACTACCCTCAGCGTCGCCAGCAGAACCGCCGCCACCGACGCCGCTGCCGCGAAGCAGGGACCCGGGCGCCGCCATCGGAGGCGGCAGCGGCGGCGGCGGAGGCGGCGGCGGCATAGCTGCTCCCGATACGTGGTGGTGGTACTCCGGCCGGAGCGTGAGCTCCAGCAGCTGCCAGATCAGCGGCTGGAGCTCGCTGGCCCCGATGCCCGGGTGCCCCCGCCCCGCCCGCCCTCTCCCGCCGCCGTTCTCGCACAGCGCGAACAGGATGCACACCGGGGGCAGGTCCCCGAACTGGGAGAGGAGGTCGCTTTCTTCGCGGCCGCCACCACCGCTGCCGCCGCTGGCATTTCCTCCGGCGGCAGTCTCGGCCCCGGCCGCCGCTGCGTCTCCCTGGAAGCGGGGGTACTTCGACGACCAAGAAACGGCGCAGTACCTGCGCCAGTTGGTCGGTCGCATCTCCGCCACGTGCAGGAGGCTGGTGAGCGACCGGTGAAGCGCCACCTGTTTTTTTTTCACCCCACCGCCAAACCAGACAGTGAGCAGCACAACAACACAAACAGGTGCGGTTTTTCGTTTCGTCAATCTTGTGGGCGAACAAAGCTGCTGAGCAAGTGGGTGGGTGCATTGTGCACACGAACAGAGCGCTTTAGCCTTCTCCGGCCGCTTCCCGCCTTGGCTGCATCATCGCCTTAGGTGTCTTACTCTTGTGCACGGAACAATATTCCTTCTTTGTCTTGCTCCCCGAAAGAAACTCTATGGTAAATGAACGGCAAGCTTTCGCGCGCAAAAATACAGCACTAAATTTAGTCTGTGGCAACAACTCGGCCTCTCAAGCCTAACATTCCTTCCACGACGTTGTCACTGCTGCGCACTGGTGAAACAGAAAACTGGCAGCACTGCCTGCTGTCCTCGTACCAAGAAACACACCGCCCCACAAAAACAAGACGCCAACCTGAGTCGTGTACGGAAGCTCGTCGACGTCGCTACCCGCCCCACCACCGCCACCGGCGGCGACAGCGGCGGCCGCAAACGCCACGCCCTGCCCGCTGCACGGCGGCGCGTCGTCCCACCGCCCCCTCTTCTTCCCCCTAGCGTCGCGCGTCGACGACGACGACCCAGCGGCGGCAGCCGGATCTCGCAGCGCCTCGCAGGCGGCCCGCGCCGCCCGCGGGGGCAAGGAGTGCAGCACCTTGCGCAGCTCGGCGGTGAACTGGTAGCTGTCCCGCACGCCATGGTACGCCGCCTGACAGACAAAAACAATCAAGCGTTTCGGAGAGAAGGAACGCACCCGCCACACGAGAGATAAAAATGAAAAAATATAAAACAAACGAAATAGACCACAGGTCGGTTGGGTAGGGGGGGTGGGGGCGTCCAAGAAGGTGATTGGCATCGGCCGTGAGGGACAGGGGTGGAGGGAATGGGTGCCAGCGGATGCATACACCAAGAACGCGTCTGGTTGGCCGATCGATCCCCCCCTCTCCCCCCAAACTAAACGACACGCAGCGAAAGACCAGGCCAGAACCCAAGAAAAATCCGTCCGTGTACTACTGTAGAACAAACATGAAAAAGCTCAAGACTTTACCAGACGCCGAAGGCTGGTGCTGGTGCTACTGCTACTGATGATGATGATGATGGCGTTTGCAGGAACGAACCCAACCAATCATAAGATCAACCCACCTGAGTGACGCAAAGGCGGCGAAGCAGCCTCTTCGCGTCGTGGCGCAGCGACTTGACCTCCCGGTCCGCGATGAGCGTACAGAGCAGCGCCTTCCACTCCGTGAGCCCCTTGTGCCGCCGCCGCATCACCTCCGCCGTAGGCGGCGACGACGTCTGAGGATGCTTCGGGCGCTCTCCTGAGTCTGCGGTGGGCGCTGCATTCGGCGGAGCCCCCCAGCTCTCGCCGCCCGCCGCCATCCTCTCCAAGCGCCTGCTCATGCTCGCCAAAGCCTGCGTCGAAGCGCACGCGGTGGGGGACGACGCAACCCGGGGTTCTCCCGGCTCAATCTCAAAATAGGTACACCAAACCAGGCAGTTTGCGGCACAAGCACCATGTTAGCAAACTAGATAGACCATGCACAAGCTGCAAAGCCAGTCTCTACTGCTGAAATCAACCGACGGTCGATGAATGTACTGCCCGTGACTACTGCTGTTGCAGCTAATAGCTCGGTCGAAGCAACAGACCACCCGATCCTCTTGGCACCATCGCCACTCGTCGTGAGGCATTGACAAAACAAAATTATGCGCGAAAAAAGGCATAGCCTAACACCACTACCCACATAGAGCCCAGCGCCTCCCTGCAAGGCAAGCGGACCCAAACACGACCCCAGTAGCAGCACGAACGTCGGCAGCTCTCTCACCAAAGACAGAGCATAAAAAAAAAAAAAAACATACGCGTTTCTTACCGTCGCCAGCTGAACCGCAGAAGCCAGCACCGCCATCGAGGGCACCCGCAAGATGGCGCCGAGCCTGGTCAACCCTTCGGCCGGCGTGCGGAACGCAGCCCTTCTCATCATCTCGGCCTTCGAGGAGGAGGAGGAAGATGATGACGTCGAGGCCACCACCGGGGCGGCGGACGGTGCGCCAGCGCCGCCGGAAGCAGCAGCAGCGGCGACCAGACCACTGCTGCGAGAAGAGCGCCTCTTGCTGTCGTCCCCGCTTACCCCGTCGGCGCGCGGAGGTTTGGAGGCGTTCTTCCGTCCCTGGCCGCTACTCCCCGCGGCCGCGGCCCTGCCAGCACCAGCGGCGGATTCGTCCTCCTTCGCGGTGGACGAGACGACACGGCGGGGAGCGGTGACAGAAGACTCCGTGCCGCCGCCGCTGCTAGACCGTCCCCCGCCGTCGCTGAGCAGCAGCGTCATGAGAGCCTCGAGCAACTCGGGAGACGAGGGAT